TGAGCCCCCACGACGACTCTGTGGAGTGCGCGCTCTGCCAGCTGCATTTCACGGAGAAGGAAACCGGGGCCCAGACACGGGACGGCCTGCAGAGCCCCAGAGTCACCGGACAATGGGGCGTGAATCCAAACCCGAGCACAAAGACTCTAGAACCTTCCGTGACGAGTCCCAGCGGCCCCTCCCAGCTCCAGACTCCGGAGCCTGGACACCTGGTCTTTATCTCATGGGAGGGGAGGGACTGTGGTTCTCCCGGACCCCAGTACCAGCCCTCTGCCTCCGTGGGGTGGACGAGGAAGGAAGGCCTTTTGCTTGTTTTCGCTCTTTCTCCAGGAGAGTGCAGAGGTTTGGACCCCTGTTGGGGCGGGCTGACGGGATTAGAGGAAACAGCTGGCCTGAGCCGTGCCCTGCGGGAGGGAGCTCGCATTCCCGGGACTCTGGGAGGGAGCGGCTCCCCACAGCCCAGTCACATTCCAGGTCGGTCTTTTTCCTGAGCCCAGATGTTTGCTAATGAGCTGGGGAGAGAGGCTTTCAGCCCTCTCCCCCGGCTCTGGGCCCCACATTACCTCGGCCCCAAGAGGCTGGCCCAGGGCCAGCAGGCTCTGGCTCCAGGCCCGTGCCCTGTGCCAGCCAGGCCTGTCGGGGCAACGGGCATACCGCTGCCAACCAGGTGCACCTCCGTGAGCTCGGAGAGCCCAACGTGACAGGTTCTGCCTTTCCTGCTGGGGCCCCACCACCCCAGGTCCTGGGGTGCGCTGGGGGGTGGGGTAGGGGGCACTCTGGGCAACCACGAGGGTGTAGTGGGCAGAGGAGCACAGGCTCAAGTCTGGGTTCAAGTTTAGACTTTGTCAGTCCCTAGCCACTTGATCTTGGGCAGGTCCTAAACGTTGTGATACCGGGACTTGTCCCACCTGTAAAACGGGGATAACGGTGGGGTCGTGGTAAGAATTCGATAGTGCTGAGCGAGATCCCTGGCAGGCAACGGTAGCTGTCGGTACTATTAACAAGTCACCTTTCGGACCCCCTGCCCTCGCTGTGGCCTTCCTGCAGTTCCCAGCCTTCGCCAGACAGGTGTGGCCCGACCCCAAGCCCGTGGCCTTGATTAGGCTGTGGGGATTGTTCCAGCAGTGGCTGACCTGTCGGTGGCGTCCAGTTGTGGCTGTCTGGGAGATCAGCTCCTGCAGCACTGGTGTGGGTTCTTCCCCAAGGTGGGCGCCCTCCCCGGGGTCCACACTGAGGACCCTGGTGGTGGGCAACACGGTGTCTCCCAAGCGCCTGCTGCGTGCAGCGCAGCACAGCTGGGCTCTGGGACGAGGCCATCCAATAGGCGGTGGCCGTGACTGGCAGCACCTCGTACTGTGTGACTTTAGGTCAGTTAACCTCTCTCGGTCTTGTTTTCTATTTTTATTCTTGTATTAATAAGGTGGGGATAACAATACTGCTTACCTCATAGATCTATTGTGCCGGTGGAGAGTTCTTAGAATAGGACCAGGCACGTGCTAAGGGCCTCGCTAAGCGTGCATGATCACGATGGTTATTATGGTGATGCTCGGGCAAGCGCTTCCCCGTGGGGGATCATGCTTCGTTTAGACAAATGTATTGTGCGCCTCGTCTGGCCCGACGCTGGAGCCCCCGCCAGTCCTGCCCTCAAGGAGCCCACGGTCCAGTGGCAGAAGGGGGCCTACTCAACTAGCAGCACTGACGGAGGTGTGTGCTCACTGCTCCAGGATCCCGCGGGAAGAGGGAGTTGCTGCCACCTGAGGGTCTTGGGAAGGCTTTCCACTCTGATGCTTGGAGAATGCCTTTCCCAGGAGATGAAAGGAGGGGAAGGGACCCCTGGCAGACGGAACAGCATGCGCAACTGCTAGGAGGCATGGAGAGGGCGGGTAAGCCAGAGGTCACCCTGGAGTCATCAGGGGGCCACTGGGAGCTGCCCAGGTGCTTGCTCAGCAACCTCCAGACCTCCGATGAGCCGGCCTTCATCAGTCCCGGAGCTTCTAGCCGGGCTGGATACGGACAACTAGCATAGACAGCAAATCTCCAAGTCCCAGGACTGCGTCCTGGGCGGCTGCTCTTTTGGAGCAGTGCTATTTTCTCACTCCGCTGGGCACACAGAACAGAGAGGGCATGACCGCAATCGCCCCCAGTGCCCGCCCGCAGATGGACTGGTTGGGTGCCCCCTACCCCCACCTCGGGATGGGGCTGGGCCCAGGCGGGGCTCTGCTCCTCTCTGGAGCTCGAGAAGTGAGCGCTTTCCTGGCGCTGTCTTTCCGAATAGTCCTCCCCGGGGCCCTCAGACCCTTCTCTGGATGCTTAAGCCAAGTGTCCGAGGTGAGGGGGGGCTGGGCGGAGGGTAAGCGACACTAGGGGGCTAAGAGTACGGCCCGACCGGCCCCCCATCCAGGGGTGTATGGATAGGCTGGGCGCTGCCCCGCAGGGCTGCGGAGCGAGGACAGTTTCCTGATGTGGGGACTCCGCGGGCTGGAGCGCCACGCCCTCGGAGCAGGACTGGTATTCCCACATAAAGGAACACCTCCGTCTTTGTCACCCCGAGGCCTGGCACGGCCTGACGCCCCGTCTCGGGAAAAGTTAGGTGGCAAGAAGTCCGAGAGCTGAGAAACACGGCGGAGGGCGCTTCGGAACAGGCAGGGGCGCTGGGCTCTCTGCCCTGGCCCTGGGACACAGGCCAGGAGGGCACCGCAGCTCGGCCGCGCACCCTGTCCCTGCGCGCCGAAGGCCCGCCTGTGGCTCCTGAGCGGGCGGGAGAGGGGGCCGGGGCCCCGGCCGCCAAGGCGCCCCCTCCTGCGCCCCGGAGGGAGCGGCCGAGCGAGCCCGCCCGCCCGCTCTTTCTTGTTCGCGTCCCTCCCTCCGCTGCCCCCGCCCTCGCTCCCTATTTGGAGCGGAGACACCCCTGACGTCGGAGCCGCTCGCTCGCCGCTCCCCCGCACCGCGCGCCCGCCCGGGGCCGCAGACGGTGCGCCGCGCAGCCCAGCCGAGCCTCGCGGGGCCGCCGCCAGCCCTGCCGGCCGTCTCCCCGAGCCTCCCGGGGCCACCGGGCCTGCCACCCCCGCCGCCCGCAGACAGCTCCGCCGGACCCGGAGGGAGCGCCGCGCTCCTCGCTGCCGCCACCGCGCGCGCGCGCGGTAAGTCCTGTCCGGGCCGGCACGCGGGCGCTCGGCTTCAGGAGGCTTCGGCCGCAGGGGCAGCGCCGCGCCCCCGGCGGCGGCGAGCTTCACCCGGGCCTGTCCGGCGGCCCAGGACACGGGGCTGAGGCGCTTGCTGCCGAGCCCCTCCGGACGCCGGGGCTCGGGACGTGGGTGCGGCATGGGGTGGCCAGGGGACACCCCTGCTCCCTGAGCCCGGCCTCGGACTCTCTCGGCATTTTCACTTCTCGGTGGGAGTCGCCACAGCCGGGAGAGAGTGGGAGGGAGATGCGTGGCGGAGCGAAAGCCCGGTCGGTCGAGGGCGGGTCGGGCCGCGCGGGCGCCGGGACAGCGCCCGGAGCTCGGCAACGGGGCTCGCGCGTCCTTCCAGCTGTACCCAGGCCTCTCGGCTCCGGTATGTTTCTGCCTCCTTTTTGTGTCTCTCCCTCTCTTAATCTCTCTCAATATCTCTCCCTCTCCCCCCACCCCGCACCCCGCCCATCTGCTGCCCCCTCCGGTTCTGTCCCTTTTCTTTCCCTTCCTCCCTTTTGAGTTGCCCTGGGTTTGTGTCTCTGCCTGCGTGTTTCCTCCGACACCCCGCTCTGCCCCTCCGTGGGGGTCTCTCTCTCGCAGTGTGCCTGTGCGTGCTCCTGACCCCTCACCCTCAAACTCGGACAATCCTCCCGTGTCGGAGGGGTCCGAGCAGTTTCCTAGACCCCGTAAAAGAAACGCAGCCCTCCCCCCTGCCTTCCGCCTGCCCCCGGGGCCTGGCCGGGGTCATCCCCCTGGAACTGAGTCTGGGCAGGGGGAGCCAGCCTTTCCGGGGGCTCAGTTTTCTTAAGAGTTCCACCCCCGCGAGGCGGCCTGGACAACAGGGCGCTGCTGCAGGCCACCTGCCCGCCTGCGCCCTGGGCGGGGCGATTCTGATCTTTTACAAGCAGAGGTAAAGGGGCCGCTGCCGGCCTTGGCGTGGCCAGCGGGGTGGCGGGCACTGGGGGAGAGGTGTACACTTTCAGACTTTCTGAGGCCCCGCCCGCTGGAGGACACCAGCCTGTAACTAAGGGAACCCCGGGGAATACAGAGGTCAGGGCCTGGGGCCAACGGCTGGGCGCGCGCTGGCAGGGGATGGGGGCGAGGAAGCAATTTGTCAACAGGCCCCTGGCCCTTTGTTCCTGTCAAATCACCAGCCTCCCGCAACTCCAGATGCCGGGCTGCTTGGGTGTGGCTTGCTTTCAGCTGGGGCCAAAGAAAAGGTGAAGCTGGAGCATTTCCTCCGAGACCCCCACCCCCCTCTCCCCGCCCCTGCAAACTCCCTCCTGGGCCCCGGGTGCAGGAGGGGTGGCTGCTCTGCCCTGACGGTGGCCATCTCCTCGTTCTTTTAAAGTGAAATCTCAGAGGGAGTGTGGCCCCTTCTCCCGCCCCCAGCCCCAGGGGTCCCAGGAGCCAGCAGGGACGCTGGTGAGGGCTGCAGGGGGACTTCTGCTGAGCAGATGTGCCGCCGGCCCCGCAGCAGCTCATTAGCATAGATCTGTTTTGGAGACCGCTCTGGGTCTTCCGGCCGGAGGGTCTGCGGGCAGGAGGGCTGCGGCCTGGGCTGGGGGTTTGCAGCCTGGAAGGTGGAGTTGCCAGGCAGAGGCGGGCAGGCCTTTGGGGCCTGGGCTTGGCCCTGCGTGTCCGCCTCCTGGATGGCTGGTTCATGCTCTGCCAGCGCTGCCGGGGAGGAAGGAAGCCGCCCTGCGGTGAGACTGGGGTCATGGAATCCCAGTGGCCTCCGGCAGTACCCCAGGAGCCAGATTCCCTGGGAGGGAATCAGCTAAAGTGGACATTCCCAGGCTGCTCTCCCTGTCTTACAGATGTGAGTCTTCGGGAGCCGGAACCGGTGGCCTGCAGCCCGGGCTGTGACCACTAGACTACCCTGCCTCCGGGCACGCTCAGAGCCAAGCGATGAGCCTGGGCCTGCCTTTGCCCCCGGCCCCACAGTGGGCCCGGGAAGCCTCACGCGCGGACCCAGACTGGCCCCCTCCCAGAGTGACCTTTCCCGTTGCACCATTCGAGGAAGTCCCTGCACTCGGGCCAAGATCTGAAGCGATCGCCCCACCCTCGCTGATCCCTGAGCCCAGGGCCACAAACCACACCCTCTGCACCCAGCAGCCTGGCGGCCAGGCCCAGCCCGTTTTCTGGAAGCTGGATTCCGGAGAGGGGGCTGGTTTCTCCTGGACCCTGTGCCTTCCGTCAGTGGCCCAAGAACGAGGAGTCAGAGTGGGGTCTTGCCCTGGGCTGCCCCCCCACCCTGGCCAGCGAGTGTGAGCGGGGCGGGACCGGACAGTTTATAAAACCCTTTCCCAGCCGGCTGTGCCGTCATTTGCGTGAGCTCCTCCTCGAGGTTCCCCCTCCGTCCATTTTCATCGCAGCAGGTGCAGCCCTGGATATAGATATTGTCGGGACCACCCAGGATCGGGCGGGTGGGAGGGAGCGGGGAGGAGAGGGTGGGGGGGGGTGAGTGGGAGGCAGAGGGACGGGTGGGGGCAGAGTCCGGAGGACCAGCAGCCCAGGGTGACTCTGAGCCAGCGTTAATGGGGACGTTTACTGAGGACGCACCCGTGACCGGCACCCTCTCCAGGGGTTTCCCTGCATAGCTGCCCTATGAGGTGGCTGCTATCACCGCCCACTTTGCAGAGGAGGAGACTGAGGCAGAGAAGGTTGGGGTGGCTGGGTGGGGATGGGAACCAGGTCTGTCACAGCCTGTGGTGACGACGGAGAAGACCCAGCCCCGGCCGTGTGTGTGTGTGTGTGTGTGTGTGTGTGTGTGTGTGTGTTGTGGCGGGGAGGGGTGGCTTGAGGTGAGTAGACACTTTCTACCAAGAAAATCCTGGCGTGCTTGGCACTAAGGAACCCTGGATGTTCAGGGTCACCCAAAAGAGGGGTGGGGGAGTGGTGGTTCACTTGTTGGACAAATGGACTCTTCGGTCCACAGAGGGCCTCTCGATGGGTGGTGGCCGACCCAGGTCTCCCTGGGCATCTGGGTCCCTCTGGGCCCCTCTGGGAGTTGGAGGCTTCGCCCCAGGCTCCAGGATGCAGGCAGAGGGGTGGGTGGCCCCCTGGCGGCCGTGCTGTGATGGGGGCCGCTTCCCTGGGGAGTTGGGCTCTGGCTCCTGGCCTGGCCGGGCCTCGGGATCCTGTGGGGGCCCGTGCAGATACGCCTAGGCCGCGCCCCACCCCTGAGGGGTCAGACCTGGTGCGGAGCCTCTGAGGTCTGGACGAGCCTCTCGAGGAGGAGGCTGAGTTGTGGGCAGCGTGGAAACAGAGAGGACCCCAAAGGCCTGCGGGACCCACGGCCTGCGTTCTTCCTGCTGCCCCCTCCTCCGGCCCTTCCCCCTTTCCCCGCGTGGAAGAGACAGTGGCCGCTTTCTTGGTCTGTGCCTCAGTTTCCCCACTGCTAGAATGGGTCAGTAGTGTCCCCCCGGGAAACTCCCTTTCCGTGTTGTTGGCAGCCTCAGAACGGGTCCGGTGTTCGCCCCAGGCCCCGGAGGGTCCGAAGGGCTTGGCTCTGGGAAGGGCAGCGAGGTGGTAGGAAAGCCTACTTCCTGGGCCGCAGGCACCCTCACTGAGGCCTGCAGGGGACTCAGGAGCGGGGCTTGAACCCTGTTTTGAGGGGCTGCTGAGCTCCCCATCCGGGCGGCGGCTGAACGCCAGAGTGAGAAACAGGCTGAACGGGGGAGAGAGACACAGCAGCCAGGCCAGGCTGGGGCAGGGCCAGCGCCAGGGCCAAGGGCAGGGAGCCCCAGGCCTGGTGCCCACTCCAAGTTCCCGGCCGCCTTCTCCACTTCCTGCTTCCCCTTCGGTGACCCTTTTCATCTGCAAAGGTGGCTGGTGGTGTCCAGGTTCAAAGCTCCGTTCTGTTTACTGTTTACTGGTTGTAACTATGGATGCGGCGCTGAGCACCGTACACGTGGCCCTTTACTTGGTCCTCCCGACGGGGGCACAGAGGTTCCTTGTAAATCGTAGATCTCTCTCTGCTCTTTGCTTCTCGGTAAACCCCGAGCCAGCCTCTCAGCCTCTCTGTGCCTCGGTTTCTTCACCTCTGCAGTGGGGGGACCAGAGGCTCCCCGGCGCAGGGCTGTGGCAGGGACTGAATAAATGGGTTTATGCAAAAGCGCCTGGAGCAGTGCCCAGTCCACAGTCAGCTGCCCTGGGCTGCTGTGGGTAAATGCCCCCCCCCACACACTCCCTGGGCCTTGGTTCACGCAGTGCCCTCAGCCCGGAACGTGCTTCCTGGGCCCACTGTGGGCAACTCATTGTGATCCTGCGATAATTCTAGGGTTAAGACCCCCTCCTCCCTGCCCCCCACAGCCCTCTCTGCCGGCCCCTCCTCTAAACAGCCTCCCCTTAACCCACCCGCTCCGCCTCCCCATCCAGGCTCCGAGCTCCTGAGTGGGCACGGGGTCTGGGGCCCCTGCCCACACCCTTGCCTTCCTCTCCGCCATCCTAGGAGGTGCCCAGGAAGTGCGTGTGGACTGCAGGGAACCGGGTGACTCTGGGGGAAGGGCGCCGCTTGGCTGACTGGCTGGGGGAGCCTCAGGACAAGGCGGGGAACCCCCCTTCCCACCCTGGTGTTCTGCGAGTCTGTGACCGGCCAGGTGACATTCAGGGTGGGGAGGACGGGGTGGGAATGGGGTGGGGGCGAGGCTCTCAAGTGTCAAGGAGGAAGGTCCGACTGCTGCAGAAGGATAAACCAACAAAAAGGTAAACCTGTCAGCACAGAGCCCACCCCGTCCGTCTGTGTGAAGCGGCGGGGTGGGGGTAAGGTGGGGGTGGGGCGAGGCAGGGATTGTCGGTGGCTGGGTGTGAGGGCCAGAGGAGGGTGTGTCCTGATGACAGACGTGTCCGAGGGAGAGAGTGGCCCGGCCTCCTCCCTGCCTCCCGCTCCAGCACCCCCAGCTTTGGCTCCGATGTCCGCCCAGATTTCCCAAGACCCCGCTGGGGAGGGGAGCTGGCCCAAGCTGGGTGCCTGTGGGTCCTGGGTGCTTTCCCTGCATCTTCCCAGCTGCTCTCAGAGGAAACTGCTCTGGCCCCCGGTCTAGGGTCGAGGTGGGTTGGTGCAGGGAGGCGAACTTTACTGCTGGAAGTCACACAGCTCCTAGGTGGGAAGGCTGGGACTCGAACGCAGGACACCCCAGGGGCCGTGCCCCAGGGGCCGTGCATGCGGGAGCCCAGGGCTCCTGGCCCAGACATGCGGAGGGCGGCCCCAGGCCCCTCCTCTGGGCGGGGCTAGTGTGCCCTCCCCGCGGATGCAGCTGGCCCCAGGGTTCGCGCTCAGCCGTGTACTAGAAGCGGAGGAAGAGCAGGGGGCGGTCTGCTGCCCGAGTGTGTCTCATTCCTCATCAGCTTCTGCCGCACGGTGACCCTAGTGACCAGTCCCCGTGGCCTGGGCCGGCGGCCCCCCTAGACTCCCTGTTGTCTCCCAGCAAGCCTGGTTGGTAACTTCAGTCCCAGTCTCCACTCGCCTGGAGCCGGACCCTTGTCCACGGCCTCAGTTCTGACCTCTCCTCATCCTGTCAGGCCGGGGTGTCATTAAAACCCCAGTCTCTATTCCCAGTCCTAAGGAAACCTGAGGTCCCCCGTCCCGGCTGCCTCCCTGGCCACCCCTGCCTCGACCTCCCTGATGCGTCGTGATGGAGTCAGGTACAGAAGTCCCGGATTTCTCTGAGGTCTCTAGGGGGCCAGTCCAGCCTGGGGAGACCCAGGGGGCTCTGGCCTTAATGGGCCTCTGGCCTTTTCTGGCCAGCCATGGTCAGACCCTGCCCGGCCCAGGCCGATTCCCTGGGGACGAACGGGCCCCATTGGGAGTGAGGAACCTTCCTGGGTGCCAAGCCTGTTGAAAAATTAGCTAGGTGGCCGGTGAGGAACAAGTCCATTCTGTTTTGTTAGGATGTGGTTGCACTAAAAACAGGCTTGCTGTCTGTCTTGTGAGCGAGACCGGAAGTGTGTGGGTAGGGGCCCGGGCCATGGCACGGTCCCCTCTGGGACGGGGGCAGACTGTCGGGACTCACCTCCTGCTGCGCTCGCTGTTCACCCCACCCCCGCCTGCACCACTGAGGGGACTTGCTGGGTGGGGAGAGCCAGGGGTGGTCACAGCCCAGCAGGCCGGCCCCTCGCTGCAAGCCGGGCTGAGCCAGCACACTTGGGTCCCCCCTGCAGGAGCAGACAGGACACCCTCAACGTGTCCCCCTCCTTCCCTGACACTGTCTGGAGTACCTGCCTCTCGTGTCAGAAAGCCGGCTCAGCTTGTCCTGCCCGGGCTGTCCCGCTCCGAGCCAGCCCGTCCCTAGCGCTGGGCCTCCGTGGGGCCGGTGGCACTGTACCTGCCTCCTGCTTCTGTTTCAGCCGCACCCAGGCCCCTCTGGGGAGACCCAGAATCCCAGACGGGTGGAGCCGCGCTGGTTCCCAGGCCTGGCTGCATACCCGAACCAAACCATCCCCGACACTTGCTAGAATCGCAGACTCCCACCCACCCTCCGACGTCCACGCCACAAGTCCCCAGGGGCTTCTGAGGATCTCAGAGACCAGTGGTCTCCGGTACCTCACTCACCCACCGTACAGGAGGGGGCGGTGTGGCCTGTGTCCAGGGTCACAGCATGCGTGGACTCCTGACCGTCCAGCGCCCTTTCCCAGGGGCCCTCCTTGCAGGCATTGCCCTCCTTCCTGAAGTCCCCTAAAGCCTTCCTCCTCCACATTTTTTGAGGTGGGGAGGGGTGGGGGAAACCCACAGAAAATGAGGTGGGGAACCTTGGGAGAGCCCCCTCGGGGGGGAATCCTTGGGACACACTGCCCTGCAGCGCCACCTGCTGGCAAATTCTGGTGTTCTAGTGTCTTACTCCTATGCGTACTTTGCCGGGTATAATGTCCAGTTCTTTTGCCCAAATTTTTGAGGGAAAAATAAAGATGTGCATTATACATGGGTAGTACTGATTCCATGTCTATATAAATGTTTTTAATTCTTTTACTTATGCTTATGCATTAAAAGTGAAACTCTAGAAGGCAATAATGATGGCCATGTGCAAAATAATACATATACTAAAATTCCTTTATAATCCAAAAAAAGGTACCTAAATAAAAATTTAACTAAAAAAAAATGAAGGATTTTTTTCCTTGCAAGTTTGGGTCAAGAACGTGGGTGTGCATTATACACGACGAAATACGGTAACTTACCAGTCCAGGCTGGGCCTGGATTGTTTCCTGCTTGCCCCCCAGCTGGGATGGGGCTGCGGATGATGGTGTGTGCGTCCACTCAGGGCTCCAGGCTTTGGTGGGGCATCCGAAAAAAGAATACGGTCTAGTCTGGGATTGTTTTTTTCTTTTCTTTTTAACCTGGGGTCCAGCCAGCCAAAGCGGCCCGAGGATTCAGTGATAGGAAGGTGGAAGCGAGCTTTCCCGACAACAGCCGTGGCCACAGGTCCCGGAGACGTGCTGGATGACCAGCCCTCGAGGGCACGTGCGGGCAGTTTTTCGTTTGCCTGGGGGAACCCACGACATCAGAGGGAGGAGGGAGCTAATTAATGATCGCCCAAGCCCCAACACGTGCTTGGGACTTAATGTCCTGTTGGGTATTAGCAGCAGTCCTTGGCCGCGCCCAGTGTTACCACCCCCATTGTTCAGATGAAGAAACTGAGGCACAGCGGTAGAAGTAATTTGTCCAAAGCTACCTTGTACGTTATCGAAATAACTGACACATGGAGTGTGTGTGGTCTCCTGCGGGCTTTTCATGCCATACCTCATTTAACCTTCTTGACACCCTCTGATGCACACACTGTTTGCAGCCTCAGTTTTTTTAAAGATGTTATTTATTTTTAGAGAAAGGGAGAGAAACACGGATGTGAGAGAGAAACACCAATTGGCTGTCTCTTGCACGTGTCCGGACTGGGGGCCTGGCCCACAACCCAGACACCTGCCCCGACCAGGAACTGAACCAGCGACCCTCTGCTTTGCAGAACCATGCCCAGCCAGCTGAGCCACACCAGCCAGGGCAGCAGCCTCAGTGTTGAGGTTCATAAGGGAGAAATAACTTTCCAAGGTTGTGCTTGGTTAGGATTTGAATCCCGGGGGTCAGGTGCCAGAGCTCGGGCTTGTAACACCACCTCCCAGCCCCCTGAGCTCGGCTGGCCTCACCCACACTCTGTGCTCAGTTCCAGGGCTCTCCAGGTCACGGGCATGATGCTCCGGGTTCTGGTGGGGGCCGTCCTCCCCACCATGCTGCTGGCCGCTCCACCGCCCATCAACAAGCTGGCGCTGTTTCCGGACAAGAGTGCCTGGTGCGAGGCCAAGAACATCACCCAGATCGTGGGCCACAGCGGCTGTGAGGCCAAGTCCATCCAGAACAGGTGGGGTCCAGGGGGATGGGCGGAGGGAGGGGAGGGAGGAAGAGGCAAGGGCTGCCCATCCTTGCCTCTGCCACAGTGACAAGGGCACGGTGACCTCTCCCCCCACAGAGCGTGCCTAGGCCAGTGCTTCAGCTACAGCGTTCCCAACACCTTCCCGCAGTCTACAGAGTCCCTGGTGCACTGCGACTCCTGCATGCCGGCCCAGTCCATGTGGGAGATTGTGAGTACCGCTGCCCGCCCCAGCCCCGCCTGCCACGCCCCCCGGAGCCCGGTGTGGTCTGGCTCACCCGTCTTTCTAGCTTCACCTGGCTTCTCTCACCTTCTTCGCTAGCTTGACACCTGACACCAGCTCACCTCCTTTCAGCCTCTCACGCCTGCTCTGCTGGTTACCATCACCACAGGGCCTTTGCACGTGCTCTTGGCCCTGGTTGGAACACCTTTCTCCTCCTCCTCACCTAGTGAACTTCTATTCAACCCTCTGCCTGTGGCCCACGCATCATTTACTGAGGGCCCCTTTCCTGGCCCCTGAGCACCGTGTGCCTCTGCTTCAAGCATCCGTCACACCCCCAGTTCTCTGTCTGCATTTGGGGGATCTTGACAAGTCTGTTTCCCACACTAGACCCGGAGCTCCCGGAGGGACCGTGCCTTGTGTCCCAGGAGCTGGCGTGGAAGGAGCGAGGGAAAGGAGGGGAAGGAGGGAAGGAAGGGGAAAGGACCGTAACTAGGGGCAGAGCAAGATGCTAGGGGTGTTCGTATAGGGCAAACCTCAGCTGGGCTGAGGGTTCTGGGGTCGGGGAGCTTTTTGAGGAAGTGATGTCTGAGCTCAGACCCGGAGGTAACTGCAACGTTTCAGGCAGGTGGGAGGGGATGGGCGGGGCGAGGAGCTTCCCGGCAGAGGGAACAGCATGTGCAAAGCCTCATGCAGATCATTCCGCCTCGGTGGCAGGAGCAGCACAAAGCCCGGGGTGGAGAGGTTCTCGGGGCGCAGCCTGAAGGGCCTGGAGCCGGGTTATCTTCCAAGTGCTGGCGGGGAGCCCTGAGGGGGAATTTTTAAAAAATTACATTATTGTTGTTCAATTACAGTTGTCTGCATTTTCTCCCCACCTCTCCCCCAAAGGGAATTTTAGGCAGGGGCCCGTTCACACTGGGGTTGCCCCCTCAGGGCGCCCTCTGGACGCGGCGAGGGGGTAGATGGGAGAGTGGCAGGCCTCAATGTGAGCATGCACGTCAGGGGGCACCTGCAGGAACCCCCCCTCTCCCCCTGGACGGGCCCCCAGAGCTGATGGGGTGGGTCTCAAGGGTGGGCTCAGGACTCCAGGGTCTCTGGGATTCTCGGTCCCGTGAGGATGTGCTACCCTTGGGACTCCCCTCCCGGCCACAGGCCTTTGGACTCACCCCCGCTGCCCTTCCCAGGTGACGCTGGAGTGCCCCGGCCACGAGGAGGTGCCCCGGGTGGACAAGCTGGTGGAGAAGATCGTGCACTGCAGCTGCCAGGCGTGCGGCAAGGAGCCGAGTCACGAGGGGCTGAGCGTCTACGTGCAGGGCGAGGACGGCCCGGGCGCCCAGCTGGGCACCCATCCCCACCCTCACCCCCACCTTCACCCTCACCCCCACCCTGGCGGGCAGACCCCTGAGCCTGAGGAACCCCCGGGGCCCCCCCACGCTGAGGAAGAGGGGGCTGAGGACTGAGGCCCCTGACTCTTCCTCCCCTCTCATCCCCCGTGGAATGCTGGGGGATGTGTGTGGGGAGAGGCCGAAGCCCCCCTTTGGCACTGGATGGACTTGGACTTGGAATGCTTCCCAGTTGCCATGGAGATCTGCAGGGAGGGGTTGGAGCCAAGCTGCACAATTTAATATATTCAAGAGTGGTGGGGGGAGGAAGCAGAGGTCTGCAGGGTTCTTTTTCGGAGAAGGGGATTCCCTTCCTTTCTGCCTCCTGCAGATGTGCCCTGGGGAAGGGGAGGAAGTTGGCTAAGCTGCTGAGGTGCGGGTGAGGCCATCCAAGATGGCGGGAGCCAGGCTAAGGCCCACGCGGCCTCTGGTGGGGCAGGGCCCCTGGGGTACAGGGGTGGAGCTGGGCACTGAGCAGAGGGTGGGTACCTCGCCAGCAGCGGCCCTGAAGGAGGCCATGGGTCCGGGCTAGGAAGGCCACTGGCTAAAGCAGGGAACTCCAGCCTGTGCCCCACAGGCTTCTCCAGAGGCCGCTCACCCCAGTCCCATGCTAGGGCAGCTCCTCTGCATGGTCCCGTGGTGGCCGCCCCCTCCCTGGTTGGGAGTCAGGCCTGGGCAGGACCCTGCTGACTCGCGGCCCTGGAGCCAGGGGCTAGGCTCTTGGGGCCTCTGGCTTTCTCAGCTTCCCAGGGGAGGGAGGAGAGGGAGGGCCCTTCCTGGGCTAGGGCATGGCAATGACCCCTCCCCCCAACCCTCATTGCCACAAAGAGCATCCCTCCCTCCTGTCTCAGATCTCAGTGCCCCCCACTGCCCCCAAGTTCCAGGCCCCTCAGAAAGCCAATGGAGCCAGCCGCACCCTGTTGGGGGAACTCTTTCTAAATATCTGGTTTGTGGAGGGGTCACCGTGGCTCAGATTCCGAGGAGGGGCCTGGGTGGGATGGATACCGGCTAAGCCTCAAGAAACAAGGAGGAGGAGCGAGGGCTTCCATGCGTTCACCGTGTTCACTGTGTTCACCGTGGCTGTCCAGCTGCCCGATCCCACCGGCCTCCCCCCTCCCACTGCACTTTAACCCTGGAGGGGGTGAGGGATCCAGACCAGGGCGGGAAGCACCGCCTATGTCTGCTTTCCTGCCCCAGGCAGCTTCCAGCCCCACCAGCCTCCTGCCGGGAGCTGCCCCGCCTGTCACAGCTGTTCCGACGAGAGCTTCTGGAGCTTGTAACCAGTAGATGGTCTCCCTGACAGACCCTGAGTTTTCTCACGAATAAATTCGTTCAGCGCCTGTGTTTCCTTCCTCACTGGTTGGCTCCACTGAGCCAGGGTTCCTGCGGGGGTCTAGGGGGAGGGGCCAGGCTGTGCAGGGCACCCTGAGTGGATGGACCCTCCTGTGCCCTGGTGACCTTTTCACTCTCCTGCCCTGAGCAGCCCTGGGCCCTGTCTCCCAGCTCCCGCCTCTCCTTGGGTGCCCGTTCCTGGCCTTGCCTGTATCTGGTGGGCTTCCCCAGCGGGGCTTTTCTGGTTTGGGGCTGGCCTCATGCCATCTCCACCCTCACAGCGGCCCCGCCTCTGTCCTTCCCCGGCCCCCAGCCTGGCCTGGCCCGGGAGAGCGGGGAAGAGACAAAACTGGCAGTTGATGGCAGACTGCATACAGGTGGGCTGCTGCTCTCAAGACTTGAGCAAATAGCTTGCCTAATCCTCACCACCACCCTGTAACACAGGGATGGCCCCCATTTTTGCAGATGGGGACTCTTAAGTGCAGAGAGGTCGGTGTGCCAGGGCCACCTGGAAACAGGGCTCAAGGCCAGTCAGCCCGGACTCGCCACTCGGCTCTCGGTATAACCTTAGCCGTTACCAGTTCTTTGTTGTGATCTGGGCTGCTCCTGACACCTGGCAACGACCCCACCAGTGTGGCAACATTACCCCCAGATTCTCCATTGGGGCGGGACAGGGTGAGGGCTAGGACCTTTCCTCCTCACACACATGGCTGTACCCGCCACATACCAGACAGTTATATTATTTCTAATTCGGGGAAAATGCTCATCATGCCAATGAGAAAAATGAGGGCCTTAATTAATGCCCAGGGAGAGATTTGCCCAAGCTGGAAAGTAGCGGCCCCAGGATTCCGATCGGGCGCCCTCTAGTGATGAGGGCTGCGAACTACACGTGATTTCCTTAGTGTCCAGAGCCTTTCCTTCACCGCTGCTGTGCACTGTTGTTTGAGAACGTCCCGACTCTAGAATGGCGCTTCTTGCCCTCGTGCGGGACACAACTTGCATGGCCACCCTCGGTGGTCCTGCAAGCCTTGTTGTGGAACTGCATGCGGACTTCGGTGACCCCTCAGTCTCGAGGGTCAAGCCCTGGCCACATGAATAGTCTTTCGATGTGGCTGGAGGTGAGAACTCACTCCAGAGTGCGCAGTCCTGCGGGGCTACCGAGGACACAGAGACCAGGTCCAAACGAAAGGTTCCGGGGGCTGTGGCTTTGGTGCTGGGCGTCTGAGACCGGCACTGTCTCGGCAGGATGTGCCTTGGTCAGCAGCCGCCTCCATCCTCTGTGTGGAATAAGGCAGGGTATACATTCATAGAAACATAAAGAAACTAGTAAGAGGTTGCTTGGAAAGAAAGCGGGAAAGTGGGTTGGCGGGGCTGGTGGCGGGCCTGAAACGCCGGTCAGAGTGCAGACTTCGCTCTCTCTGCAGTAGGAGCCCTGGAAGTGTCTGCGCAGAGCTGAATTTCATTCAGACCGAAAAGAAGGCTCGTGGGGAGGAGGGGGAGGCTGGAGACCAGCTGGAAACTGCAACAATCCAGGCAGAAGATGATAGAAGCCCGAGTTGGGCGCGAGTCTGGGGAGGCGGGGCCACACAAGAGAGAGGCCGCTGATTGGATTCGGGAGCAGTAAGTGGGAGGAGCCAGGTGTGAGGGACTTGAGGCTCACGTTAGTTGTGCTAGTTACCCAATGGGAGTAAGATGTGAAGTAGTGACTGCCGGTTTTTCTCTCCACCTTCCTCAAACGGACTAGACAATCCCCCCAAAACTGCGTCTCCCCCCCTCCCCCCGCCATCCTTCCTCCCCACCCTCGCCCTCAAGGGATTAAAAATCTTCACAAGGGCCCTGACTGGTGTGGATCACTGGATTGGGGGGACTCAAAGGTCACACACGGGTTGATTCCTGGTCCCGGCTCACCGCTGGGTTGCAGGCCAGGTCCTCGGTTGGGGGAGCCCAAGAGGCAACCGATCGATGTTTGTCTCGCACATTGATGTCTCTTTCCCTCTCTTTCTCCCTCCCTGCCCCCTCTCTAAAAATAAATAAATACAAATCTTAAAAATAAAATCTTTACAAGGGGTTAACACCGACACAGCATGGGCAACGCAGGCCCCTCCCAGGATGGGTGGGAAATTGGTCCCGCTTCCCCGCCTTGTTAGCCTGTGTGAAGCCAACGACCCCAAACTGGTTCTTTTTTTTTTTCCTCCTGCTCCAAGCCTCAGGGGAAACCCAGTGTTCCTGGGTTCAAATCCAGGGCCACTTCTTAGCTGTGTGATGTGGAGCGAGTCCCTTGAGATCTCTGAGGCTCCCTTTTCTCATCAGTAAAACGCAGAGTAGTGATGCTCACAATCTCTTCACTGGAGGGGTTGTCATGCGCTTTTTACATTGATCAATGTACCTATCGAGCCTGAAACAGTGTCTGGCCCGTAGTTGATGCCCCACATTATTGAAGACGCTGGGAATGGATGATTGGCCCGTGCCTGCTAGTGGTCAGGCTGATAGCTTTGTCCGTTCGCTTATTGAACATGTATTTACAGACAGCCTAACATGTGCCGAGGGCGCAGCAGCCAACAAAACCCACAAACTGCGACCTTCATAAAGTTTGCCCAGTTGGCCGATGTCTTCCGTGAGAGCAGTTTTGAGCAGACCTCGCACCCTCCCTGGACCTCAGTTTCTCCATCTCTGCCAGGAGGAGCTCCCTTGGGTCCTCTCCGTACTGACAAACACGGGCCTGGGGCAGAGGACTTCCTAAGACTCAGCTGTCCCATTGTGGCACTGGCCTTCTCCTCTAGGGAGAGAGCACCCCGTGGCCAGAAGTAACCAAGCAAAGGCTAAGCATCCTTGAAGGCTCCATTCTACCCTGAGACGTTAAGGAAGTCTAGGACAGTAATCAATGCCGGAAATGAGAAATTAGGAGCAAGGACAGAACTTCGGAAAAGTTCTTAAATGTATCATAATAACAGCATGGCCACAAGGTGGCACCACCACCCAGGCCCAAGCTTGAAAAATAGACTTTTTAAAAAATTATAGCAAAGTACAGATCATAATATAACAAACATCTGTGAATCCATCACCAAGAATGAAAAAATATTAACATTTTTGTCATGTTTTCTTTAGGTCTTTTTTTTTTTTAAATAAAGGCTATCAAACATTACAGCTAAAGTTAAAGCAGAGAGACTGATATTCTATTCCACTCTTCACCACTACTTTTTTAAAAAAGATCTTATTTATTTATTTTTAGAGAGGGAAGGGAGGGAGAAAGAGAGAGAGAGAGAGAAACATCAATGTGCAGTTGCTGGGGGTCATGGCCTGCAACCCAGGCATGTACCCTGACTGGGAATCAAACCTGCAACACTTTGGTTCACAGCCCGCACTCAATCCACTGAGCTATAGCAGCCAGGGCTTTTCACCACTAATTTTTCAAAGCTGAAATTTATCAGGCAGCTCCCTGTGTGTGGAATGGTTGAGTACTCATTCTGCCCGCATCAGTTTCAGAGACCGGGAGCAGGGAACTGAAGAGGCTTTGCCAAGTTCACAGAGCAAGTAGCAGAGGCAGGATTCTCAACCCAGGACCTCGGGCCTCACAGTCAGCTGCACATAGCGCCGCTCAGGTGGGCTGTTGCTCAGCCAGGGCTGTGGGGCTCCCTGCAGAGCTGCATGCACTCCTGTTGTTCAGATGGGAACGTTGAGGCCAGCCGCTAGCTAGCTCTGATGCAGTGCCGTTAGGTGTACAGATTCTACTTGGGTCATTTCATCCCCCCAATAACCCTGGGGGCAGGGGGCGCTGCGTTGCTCTGCTAACAATCGCAGATCAGAAAATAGTGACCCAAGGAGATGGAGCCTCTGGCCCCAAGTGCACAGAGCGGTACGTGGCAGAAATGGGCCCCAAGTCTGGTCTTCACAATATTCACCCAGTGCTTGGTATTCTGCACCCTGTTCCTGGGGGCAGGGCGGAAACTGTCAGAGGGGGCAGGTGGTGTTGGAAAGGACAACAGGCCTCCTCCTCCTCCTGCCTGGACCCACGTGTGGGCAAGACAGGGGCTCTGAACGCCAAACGGTGGCTCAGGGGTGGGCGAAGGGTGCTGTAGGGGCTTAAGGTTTCTCTGCCTTGGGTCTTGGGAGACCCGGGTTTCGGTTCCACTGGACCACTGGCTGCTGGAGCCCTTGGGTGAGGCCCGTGGCCTCTCTGAGCTCCACTTTCACGTCTATTGCCCAGCATTATTGGGGAGGTCAGAATAACAAAATGAAGCCTTCGGAACAGAGCAGGACCTCGGCCGTGGGCGCGGCCGGGGCTCAGAGCGAGTCTCCACGAGGGGTGCCTCTGTGGGGTGCAGATTCTGGAGCTGAAGGCAGGCGAGACCCTGTGGGCTCGGGAGAAACTTGGACTTCTCCCTCAAAGAATGTGACGGTGGGGCCTTGCCCGTAGTAGGAGTTATCACCGGAAATAGCCTTTTCTTGCTATATCCATGCCGCAGGGCGAGCATCGCATTGTTGGACACCTGCTCTTCTCGCGCAGCTGTAGACGGCCCTCCTCCCTTCGGGGGCCTAAGGCCCCGACGGCATCCGTGGCTCAGGAGGGCGGCGCACGCACCTCGACGTCCGAGTCTGTCTCTGAGCCTCTCACGCATGTGGGGTCCCCGTGTGTACATATGCGGTTAAACTTCGTTATTTCCTCCTGTTCATCTGTCTCGCATCAATGTGACTATTAGATCAGCTGGAAGGACCTAGAAAGGAAGTGAGAATTTCTTCCTCCCCCACAGAGGTGCCGCTTTTCTGTTTCTGCAAAGGGAAAAGGTCGCCTGCCCCCTACCCCCGTTTAGATGTCCTCTACGTTACTCTCCACTTTATTTTTTTTTTCTATAGCGATTGTCACTTTCTGACTAGGCATCTATTATAATGCTTACTGTTGGTCTGTGTCCTTCCGCTGGAGTGTAAACGCCACAGAGCTGGGGTCTCGGTGTTGGTCACTGTAGTGTCCCAAGTGGGCAGAGCAGCACACCAACGGGGACACTACAGTGAC